CCAAAGAATTGATGCTTTTGAACTGTGGTGTTGGAGGAGACTCTTGAGAGTCCCTTGGACTGCAAGGAAATCAAACCAGTCAATCCTAAAGGAAATCAGTCCTGAATATTTATTGGAAGGATAATGCTGAAGCTGAAGCTCCAATACTTTGGCCACCTGATGTGAAGAACTGACTCATTGAAGACCCTGATGCTGGGAAAGATTGAAGGTGGGAGGAGAAGGGGACGACAGAGGATGAGATGGTTCTGTAGCATCACTGACTTGATGGATGTGAGTTTGAGCAAGGTCCAGGAGTTGGTGATGGACAGGGATGCCTGGCGTGCTACAGTCCATGTGGTCGCAAAGAGTCATACACAACTGAACGACTGAACTGAATGTATGTGTGTGTTATTCCCAAACTCCTAATTTATCCTTCCCTCTCTCTTTCTCCCTTGATAATAACAAGTTTCTTTTTGATATCTGTGCTTCTGTTTCTGTTTTGTATTTAACTTCATTTGTGTAATTTTTTAAATTTTTTTTTAGATTTCATATATAAGTGGTATCATATGATATTTGTCTTTTTCTCTCTGGAGCTTTCCTGGTGACTTACCTACCTGTAGTGCAGGAGACCCAGGTTTGATCCCTGGGTCAGAAAGATTCCCTGGAGAAGGAAATGGTTACCCACTCCAATTTTCTTCCTGGAAAATTCCTTGGCCACAGGAGCCTGGCAGGATACAGCCTATGGGACCACAAAGAGTTGGTCGTGACTAAGCAACTAACATTTTGTCTCTCTATTAGTATGATAATCTCTGTGTCCATTCATGTTGCTGCAAATGGCATTATTTCATTCTTTTTTATGGCTGAGTAGTATCCCATTGTGTAAATATACCACGTTTTTTTTATTTCATTCATTTGTTGATGGACATTTAGTTTGCTTCCTTGTCTTGGCTGTTGTAAATGGTGCTGCCATGAACGTTGAGGTGTATGTATCCCATTCCTGGGATATAGTCAGAGAAAACCATAGTTCAAAAAGATACATACACCCCAATATCTTGCTATTTTTGAATGGCCTTTAACACACATACCTTATGTTAGTCTTAAACTAAAGCTGTTCATGATTCACTAATCAAGAAATACAATCTCTCTCTTGACTCTATTCCCAGTTAAGGAAGAGATTAAACCCTGTCTATCCAAAGCCATTTAATCAAATCAAGACTGTTTTACCTATTCAGAACAGTTGCATTTGTTAATTTCCCATTATCAATGATATTAATACATTAATTAATACATTAAGTAAAAAGCTTTTTTTTCTCTTTTTACAAAATCAGAAGGCACAATCAAACTTAATTTAACTGCATTGTGACAGAGACTACATCTTCTACTGGGGAGAAGTTTGGAGTTATGATTAAAATAAAAGGAGTCAAAATGTGAGTCAAGTAGATTTTATGTAAATATATTTGTATAATTTAATAGAAGTTTGTTAATATACAGAAACCCGTCTTGGCGTTTCCTGAATTCCTGAATCATGAAATAGATTCTAAATGACATCACTGGGTAGTGTGTGACTTTGGGTTTGGTGCTCACTCCTTTCTCTCCCTTTAGCTGTCACTTTCTTCTTTCATCTTTGTTCGAGTCTCACACGCTTTCCCAAGATTTTGTTCCAGTCTTTGATGAGCCAGAGAAGCCCCAGAGTGACAGAGCTGGTTAAGCACAGGTTTCCTCTCCCTGTTGTTGCTTGACCCACGCCCGCGTTACCTTCTTTAAAAATTCTTTTTTTTTTACAATGTTGTGTTGGTTTCCTCCATAAAACAGCACAAGGCAGCCATAATTTTACATACATCCTCTCCTTCCCTAGCCTCCCTCCTCTTCCCCATTCTGTCCCTCTCGGTCATCACAGACTGGGCTCCTTATGCTACACAACAGCGTCTCACCAGCTGTCCATCTTGCACCCGAGAGTGTGTTTGTTGATGCTACTTTCTCCATTCATCCCACTGTCTCCCTCCCCGACTGTGCCCACAGATCCATTCTCTACATCTGCATCTGCCTTCCTTCAGCATTACCTTCTCAAAGGTGCCATGCTTTCAGAAATTTTTGAAGTGCTTTGTTTAAGAAGATATATTAAAAAAAAAAAGTATTTATTTTCTCTTTCAACATGTCCATTCCATACTATTATGTGAATACTTTAAAATTCCTCCCTTTTAACATTATTTTTTTCCCTAAAGTTAAAAATTATCCTTTGTTGAAATGTAAACCATTCCATATTTTTGTTTCGATTTTTTGTTTTTTTAATTTGACTGTGCTGTGTGGTATGTGGTGTCTTAGTTCCCCTGGCGGGGATCAAACCTGCAGCCTCTGTATTGGAATAGCAGAGTCCTAACCACTGGGCCACCAAAGGAAGCCCCATTTTGTTTTGATTTTAGTTATTAGCTTAATACATAAACTTACAAGTAATTGGATAATTTCATATCTCCAATTAGCACAGAATTCCGGCAAAGACAGATTTTGTAAGCTAAGGCCTGTGTGCCTTGTTGGGGTACCCTTGGGGCATCGTTACGTTGAGATGGCTCCCAAGTTGTGTCTACTGGTGACCATAGCAACAACGAACACCGTACAGTATAATACCTGCTTCCGGCACAGTCAGTGTAAGGCAGCCTCGGGTGATTCTCACTTGTGTAGCAGTCTTGCGTTTGAGGTCGCTTTGACCTTTCCTATCTAACTTGATTGTCACTAAAATCTGGTGAGATGAAAGCGGCCACTAGCATAGCCTTCATCTGCCTTGTGGACAGGTTCCCGCTGAGAAGACTAGGGGACAGACATGCCCCAGTCACATGCTGAGAGAGGCCAGGTCCCCAGCCTAGAGTTCCAGTTCCCTCCCCACCATTACACTCACAGTGTCTCTCCACCAGGCCTGCAGAAGCAGTGCTCCAGTTGCAGCCTCCATGGAGGTGGTGTTGATATCCACGTCATTGTTGTTTTAGTTGCTAAGTTGTATGTGACTCTGTGCCCCAGTGAACTGTAGTCAGCCAGGTTCCTCTGTCCATGAGATTTCCCAGGTGGCAATACTGGACTGGTTTGCGGTCTACTTCTCCATGATATCCACATAGATTTTGAGAAAGCATAGTTGGAGCCAGTAATAATCTGCTCAGTGACTAGAAACGTGGTTTACTAAATTTGTACTATTTGTACCACTACTAGTGAGACATAATGCATAAACACACATTGGAGTATGTTTTAAAAACATTGGCAAAGTAAATGTTTGATAACATGCGTAATTGTGCTTTTCTATTTTTGGAACCCTGGTTCATTTATTTTTATGTGAATACCTATTCCATAGCCTTAGATGCTTGCACTGTTAATTTAAAAATAGGACAAGGATTTAGATAAAAGTAAATGGGCTGTGTAGGATTAGTCCTAGCTTACTTTACCTGCAATTAGGAAGGCTTTTTAGCATTTTTACATATTCCCAGTTACAAAGACTTACCCAGAAAAAAGGCCATTATGAAGTCTTTAATTTCAAAATGCTTTGACCTAAGTTTATGAAAATATATGTAGAATTAGTCATTTTATAATTCGTCATTGTTTGGTATGTGTATTACCTTTTTATGTGATACATATCTATTTAATAGTCTGAGTGTTCACAGTTCTTTTATTCATTAAACAAACATTGGGTACCCCAAGGCGCCAGGCACTGGTCTGTCCTGTGTGCTGGGCATATATCAGTGAACAAGGCAGTAAGACCCTGCCAAAAAAAAAAAAGCAACAGTCTGAGTATCTTCATTAAATGAATCTCTGTTAAGGAATCATTTTTAATAAAAATTCAACTTTATACATTTATTTTTTCAGCTTTGTTGGGTTATGATTGACAAAATTCTAAGATATATATAGTGTACTTTATGACAGTTTTACACACTTGTGTGTGTATATATATATGAAGGATTCCTCCTATCTAATTGACACATTTGTCACCTCAAATATTTTTCTTAGTGTGAACTTTGAAGTTCTATTCTCTTATTGAATTTTGATTATACTCTACAGTGTTGGGGCTTCCCTGGTAGCTCACCTGGTAAAGAATCCACCCCCAATGCAGGAGACCCTGGTTCGATTCCTGAGTCGGGAAGATCCGCTGGAGAAGGGGTTGGCTACCCACTCCAGTGTTCTTGGGCTTCCCTGGTGCCTTGGCTGGTAAAGAATCCGCCTGCAATGCAGGAGACCTGGGTTCGATCCCCGGGCTGGGAAAATCCCTTGGAGAAGGGAACAGCTACCCACTCCAGTATTCTGGCCTGAAAAATTCTATGGACTTTATAGTCCATGGGTTTGCAGGGTGTTATCAAGTGCAGTCATCATGCTGTACATTAGATCCTCAGATCTTTTTCATCTTATATAGGTCAGTTTATAAAGCTTGTACGTTGACCATCCTCAAAATGTTTTATCTGTAAACAAGTATGATGTTGTGTGTGGATCACTGTGCATGGCTCTGTGAAGATGGAAGAAAAAGAATGGAGGTATTCTGCTTGTTATTGGAATTTTGCATAAGTTTACAAAATGTTAAGCAAACACTCCAATCAAACATAAATTACACAGCTATTTTTAGAAGCTGTTTTCTGATTCATTTTCTGTTTTTAAGTTATCTCAGGTGGAAAATGTAGGTGCCTCTGATTTTGAACTTTTCTCCTAATATAAGTATACCTAAATCCCCCCAAATACTTTCTATCTTGAATTCAATTTCATGTGTCTCCAAGGGCTATTCAACATTGATATTTTTGTCACCAAACTGAAGATGAAGAAAGGGAGAAAAGATCATTTCCACCCCCCCCCCTTGAATACCAATCTGTTGCTGAAGGAGCTAGATTAGAAGTCAGAAATCCTTCTTTTTCATTAATTATTAATCATGCTCCCATTGTTTAAAAAGTCACAACTCATGCTTGCTTCCAAGTATCAAGAGAAAAGGAAAATTCAGAGATTGAGACAAAGGGAATGAGTTTAGCTGAGTGTATATTTCAATATGTCCCTCTCCTCCTTAGGAGAGAGTTATGTGTGTGGCTCAATCGAACCCTTCAAGAAGCTGGAATACACCAAGAATGTGAACCCCAACTGGTCGGTGAACGTCAAGACCACCTCAGCTTCGCGGGCGGTGTCCTCTCTGGCCACTGCCAAAGGGAGCCCTTCGGAGGTGCGGGAGAATAAGGATTTCATTCGGCCCAAGCTGGTCACCATCATCAGAAGTGGGGTGAAGCCACGGAAAGCAGTCCGGATTCTCCTCAACAAGAAGACCGCTCACTCCTTTGAGCAGGTTCTTACCGACATCACTGACGCCATCAAGCTGGACTCGGGAGTCGTGAAACGTCTCTACACCCTGGATGGGAAGCAGGTAGGTGGTGGTGGGGGGCGACCGTGGTATGGCCTTGACTTTATGGGCAAGAACCAGGGAGTTGAAGGGTTTGTGTGGCATCGAATGGGGACCCGAGATGTACATTCTACAGATATTGATGGACTTGAGTCATTCAGTCAGCAGATACATAGCTGTTGTCCTCCAACCAGTTCAAGGATAGAGTTAACACAGGATTAACCTTAGTAATCAAATACAAATATAGACCCCTGAAGCTTAAATGATTAATCAGAGATTTCTACTTTTCCTGTTATTAATTGCCTAACATAGTGCTGCTTTTTCAGCCATCTGTGTTCAGTTCGGTTGTATAGTCATGTCATGTAGAGGTGAACTCTGACCAGTAGAGAAAAACCCAAGTCCTTTCTTTGACCTCAATGATATTTCATAGTTTTATGTCTCAGTAATGTTCATAAGCAAGATTTATTTACAGTTTATAATTCTGAGTACATACCTAAGGAATGAAATATTTCCATCTGGATGGCTCTAAGAGGCATATTTCTAGAATACTATCCATCTTTTATTGAAAACATACTTTCAGGATTCAAATGAAAGAGGGGTTTCTTTACCTGTGGAATGTACATTGGTCGATTTGGGTGAGTGGACATGTTAATGTGCATTGCTCAGATAAACTTAAAGGAAGTCTTATGTGGACTTTTGCAAAGATTTGACAGAACTGTGATGGTGAGCTGAATAAAGAACACTGACATATGACATATGTACAGAGAAATTTGTTGACCGTTCAAAGTTTACCAGTGTCTTTTTGTTTCAGATTACAATTTTCAGTACACTGTCTTTACTTGAAACTTAGTTTTTAATCATGGATCTGCCCACATCTGTTTTAGAAATTATTTTGAGATATAATTAAAATGATTTGTATAAAGAGTACATAGTAAAAGTCAAAACTAGATTAATAAATTAAAAGATTAATCTTATTAAATAGAAGACTCTTCCAAGTTCTTGAAGGCTAACACATTCAAACTTTATGAATTAGAAATAGATGCAAATACTAGAGAGTGTTAGTCATGAGAAAATTCCTCCCCTAGGGATCCATTTAAATGCTCTAAATTATAAATTCATTAGGAGAAAAAGGAAGATCTGCCAATTGTTCATTTATATTCACCAGTCTTCTACTTGTCTCATAAAACTTCCCCTAAGTGTCATGTGGATAAGGAATCTTAGTGAGAAAATCTCCAGTCATCTAGATCTAGGAAGGTGTAGCCTGAATGTCACCATATATCAGGAATCAAAGAGTCTGTGGCTGCCTTGTAAGCTATAGCAGCAGTAAGATGGCAGGGTTCACACTTAAACATTTAATCCCTTCCTTCGTGATGAATTACTCAACCGTCTTGAAGTTCTGCGTTTTTGTGATTTTTCTCAACATGGGAGTTTACCTGTTTTCATAAAAATAAAATTTACAACAAAGAATACATAATTGATAAATCTTTCTCCTCTCCCCCTGCTTCAGAACTTTGGGGTTCTGATTTGTTACACACTGAATCAAAAAAATCAGCTTTAATTACTTATGCTAAATTCTGCCGTCAACTGAGCATTTATTCCAAGAATGAATTCCTAGAAGAGATATCATGATGTTCTGAATAGCTTTCATCTTTTTAGGATTTTTATCTGATGTCTGTATTTTGAAATAGCTGTTTTGTCAATGCACCAAATGTAGGTCTGATCTCCTGATGTGAAGCAAAAACGATCTACTGACACCAGCTTGTGGTGAAGGGAAGTGTAGCGTTTATTTCAGGGCAAAGCAAGGAGAATGGGCAGCTCCTGCTCGAAAGACCCCAATGCCCTCATGGCTTTTAGGGAAGTGTTTTTAAAGGCACAGTAAGGGAGAGGATCTCAGGGTGTGGGATCAGCTCTTGTACACTCCTCTAATTGGTTGGTGGTGAGGTAACAGGTTGGTGTTTTGGGAGCTAATGTCATCAACTTTTTGGTTGCAACTGGTCTGGCATCTATGTGCTGGTGTTAAGTTTGCAGGTAACTTCTTCAGCCAGGCGGGGGCTTTAGTATCTGCAAACCAACTCAAGAACATGGTTTAGGATATCATCTGTAGTCTTTGAAGAGGGATTAAAGGTTTATGACGTTGTTTTATGGCTAAATTACTCTTATTTTGTCTTTCTTGACTGCTTTCCTTTGTTTCTGCGTTTTCTCACTTCTCTGCTTAAATTCTCTTTGGAAACTTGGGGAAGACCTAAGAGGCTAAAGCTTTTGTAAAAGCAAGAGGCAGGGGACATGGGGGTCTCTTCCTAAAAGTCCCTGCAGGGTCCTGCTGGGTTTTGGCTTTTGCTGTAGTTTACATGTAAATAATGGAAAAGAATCCAAAGTTTAATGTTAAAAGACCAGGATTCAAATCCTGGTTCAGCCACAGATTTTTTTTTTTTTTTTTTTTAGCAAATCACCTAACTGAGCCCCACTATATTCATCAATAAAACATGGATAAAATGATCACCTCTGTTTCACAGAGTGCTTGTGGGATCAACTTTGATAAATAAGTGAAAGCTATTTTGAACTATAGTAATAACATGCATGCATGCTCGTCGTGTCCAACTCTTTGCGACCCTGTGGACTATAGCCCTCCAGGCTCCTGTCCATGGGATTTTCCAGGAGAGAATAGTGGAGTGAGTTGCCGTTTCCTTCTCCAGGGGAATCTTCCTGACCCAGGAATTGAACCCACATCTCCTGCATTGCAGGTGTATTCTTTACCACTGGGCCACCTGGGAAGCCCATCATAATAGCAACCATAATTTTATTGAACATTGTTCTAAATGCTTTGCATGCTTTTGGCATGTTTACTGCTAACAGCTCAGTTATTATCCCCATTTAACAGATAAGGCCATTAAAGCACAAAGCTTGTTATTAAAAAACATGTCCAAGACCAGACAAATACAAATGACAGAGCTGGGATTTGAACTGGTTTCTGTCTAGAGCTTGCCCTCATGGCCCCTGTAGCACAGCAGATGATAGTAAAACCAGAGATGCAAATGTACTGAAAACAAATTTCCAAGTGAGTAATCCGTACAAGGAATATCATCTGAACGTGTTCTGCTGTGAGTTTTCCCTGCTCCAGTCATCCCACGGGGCTAATTCCGGTCACCATTGTGGTGTTGCCTCTGTTGAGGCATGCTCTCTTCAAAGCAGGAGCGGCGAAAAGCTGCAAAGGAATAGGATGATAAAGTGGAAAGAGTGAAAGAGTATAAAGACTTTGTGCTTGGGTTGCCAGTAGGAACAAAGCTTCCTTCCTCATGGACCCTAGGAGTCTTTAGAATCTTTTTTGTTCAAAAGAGAATCTGCCCCCGCAAGCAGATCTCCCCCCTCCTTTTGTGGGAGGGATTCTTTAACAGCCGATGATGCTGTGATCAGGGCTTGATAAGCCTCTGAGAAAAAAAGCACTTCCCTCCAAGCCTTCCCAGGACTTGAAGCTCTGACACAGTAGGGTGGCACCCTGTGCTGCCAGGGTCTCACCCTGCCCACCGTGGCATCGGGGACCACATGCTGTCCGTGGGACATCACCCTTAAGATCACTTGTCCGCCCTTTTTTTTTAAAATAGTATATCTGAGCCCTTATATCAAAATCCAATGCCCAGTAAAGCTTTTAAAGGTAATTTTTTTTTTTTGTAGCAAGGAAATAGATTTGTTTAAATAATTAATACTTTGAGTGCTTTGGATAAACGGGTAGAAGGAAAGATATACAAGCAGGAATGGCTTTTCAGATTGCCATCAGGCAGCCTACAAATGAATTTGTGGGGAGGAAACTGGGGACTCTGGGATTTCTGACTGTGGAACAGGGTGAGCCCGTGTGGCTGGTACCCAGGGCACTGAAAGGCGTGGAGCGCATGCCCCTCTCACTTGGCTTCCTTGCACATGAGCCTCTTGGCTTTGCTTTAAGCCCTAGCCTATGAGTTCATTGGCTCAGACAGTAAAGAATCTGCCTACAATGCGGAAAACCTGGGTTCGATCCCTGGGTTGGGAAGATTCCCCCAGAGAAGGCAATGGCTACCCATACCAGTATTCTTGCCTGGAGAAGTCCATGGACGAAGGAGCCTGGAGGGCTACAGACTGTGGGGTCGCAAAGAATTGAACACAGCTGAGCAACTTACACTTTCATTTTTCATGAGTTCACTGTGCAGTGTGGTGCTTTTTTGAGGTTTTTTGGCTGAGATCAGGAAATCAACATATTGGAAATGCTGTCCCGTGTAGAAGGCATTCTGCAGGAAGCTGCAGTTTCCCTGGATGGCTGTTGTGGTTCACGAGCAGTCTGTTTGTGAGTGAACCTTTTCTAATTATTCCAACTCCATTCTTTATGCAGCTGCATAGAAGCTCCAAATAAAGGTTCCCACAACCTTGCCACCCCCTCCACACACCTTTTAGGGGGCCTCTGTTAACCAGGTGATCAGGCACTTTTGCTGGCATAGCTGGGGAGGTCAGAGATTATGTTGCATCTTACTTTTAGTCATGCCTTACTTATCTGGGCCCTGATTAAGGGCCCCCAAAGAAGGACGGAGGGCATTTTCTAGTTGAAGGTTAAAATCACATCCCTTTTCTCCATATTCAAGGGCGGCTGTGCAGGCTGCAAGAATCTTGCCTTAGTCCAGGGTCTGGATGTTGGAATTCTTCTGTGGGTTATTCTGTCACCCTGCTGGGCAGCTATTTCCAGAGGTCATTTGTGTGCTGCGTGCTAGGTTGCTTCAGTTGTGTCTGACTCTTTGTGACCAGATGGAACTGTAGCCCACCGGGCTCCCCTGTCCATGGGATTCTCCAGGCAAGAATCCTGGAGTGTGTTGCCATGCCCTCCCCCAGGGGATCGTCCCAACCCAGAGATCGAACCCGTGTCTTATGTCACCTGCATTGGCAGGCGGGTTCTTTACCACTAGCGCCACCTGGGAAGCCAGAGGTCGTTTGGAGTGTGACTAATTTTTAAATGATTAAAATAAGCCCGAAACGTACATGCTTTGCTGAAAAGATGCACTTGCATG